ATATATATATATATATGTTTTAAACCCTTCCCACACTCTTGCAACAAACATAAAATGTTTCTAAACTCTAAACGGTCTAAAAGAGACTGCTTGTCATGATTTTAGCTCCCTGGCACCTGCAAGTTGTCTTGGCCACGCCCACTTCCCCACTCTGCAGGAGAAACAGCTGATCAGCTGCAGCAGGAAGTTTATGGTGCAGTAAGAGCTGCACAAAGGCAGGAGGAAACTTTTTCTGCAGCTGTGGGCTGCACAGAGGTGCAGCAGGTGTAAATAATTTAAAATAATCGATTTTAAATAAAAAATTCATGCTGATCGTGCGGCTCATCCATCAATCAGCCAGTGTGTCATGTCCACTCTTATTTTGAAAAACCGCGATAGAGCGAGTGTGATAAACGAACTGTGAAGTAGCGAGAGACTACTGTAAAATAAAACTGCTTTCATAAGTTTTAGGGCTGTAAAGAACCCGCTATGAGTCAGGTAAACCGGGGGGGGGGGGTGTCAACTGTTCTGATATTAGCTCATTCTGCCGTCATGGAACCACAAAAATCAACAGTTTGAGAGGAACTCTGAGGTCCAGAAGCAGCAGAAGTGTGATTAACTGTTAAGATGGTCGCTGCAGACCCAGACATCATCACGAGTCATCTTTTGTCCACTCAGTCTGCTGCTTCCTTACAGAGAAAAGTTTTGCTGAATGACGTCTGTGAAGTTGCAACTTCTGTTGGGTCTTGGAGCTACAGAAATCAACTGAACTGAATAGGATTCAGTTTCTGGATCATTAATGTTCCATCAGTGTTCCAACACGTACTGAACATTATTATTGATATTGTTTATCTTATTTCTTTATATATTGTTTTTAACATTTAGGAACTTTTGTGTGAATCTTTTAATCTGTTGCTGCTGTTACATGGAATTTCCCATCCATGGGACAATAAAGGCTGTTTCTATTCTATTAGTTGGGTTCCAGACAACCAGTGTTTACCAGGGTCCGGCGGGGGTGGTGGGGGTCAAACCAGAGCATGAAAAAACAACTTTAAAACGTGTGCACGTTGGGCAGTCCGCCTGTGAGAGCACGAAGTCTTAGGCGACTTTTTGAGACAGTGATGAGCTGTTGTAACTTTTCTAATCAGGTTTAGATTATTTACCTTGATTTAATCGTGCCAATCCCACTGAAATCACAGATCTCTTCTGCCAGGTCCTCCTGGGCCTGGAGACAGCCTAACGTGCATGTTTCTGCACTGTGGGAGGAAACTGGAGTACCAGGAGAAAATACACGCAAACACGAGGAGAACATGCAAACTCCACACAGGAAGACCTCATGCTCAAACTGGGGGTTGAACCCAGGACCTTCTTGCTGTAAGGCAACAGTGCTAAGCACTGATCCATCGTGTAGCCTTTAGATGTTTATCTAAAGGTGGTTTCTTTCATGTGGATATTTATGAGAACCAACAGAGCTCAGTGCTGAGATCCTGATGAAACATACAGTCAGGTATCATCTGCGTAACGAATGATATAAGATACTTCCAAGCAGAAAACTGGACTTAGGAGGTGGTGTTCACTGCAGACAGGAGTCCGAGCACAGAGCTTTGTGGGACTTAACCATTAAACCGGTTGTGGATTATCAGGTTCAGCGCTTTTTATTGTCTGTTTGACAGAAAAAAACGAGACAAATGCATTTTTGTTTCCTCTGCAGCCTGTGACTGTGACCCTGAAGGTTCCTTGTTGGGTCAGTGTAAGGAGGACGGTCGCTGCGAGTGCCGACCCGGATTTGTGGGAGCTCGATGCGACATGTGTGAGGAGAACTACTTCTACAACCGTTCAGTGCCGGGCTGCCAGCAGTGTCCTTCCTGCTATAGTCTGGTCCGAGACAAGGTGAGGACCACCACCACCACTGAGAGAGCTTCACGCCTGCAGTGGTTCTGATGGATTAAAGTTCTGTTTGTGGGTCCAGGTGAACCAGCAGAGACAGAAGCTCCAAGAACTCCAGACTCTGATCGATAACCTCGGCTCGGGTCACGACATGGTCAGCGATAAGGCCTTCGAGGATCGGCTGAAGGAGGCAGAGAAGGCCATCATGGAGCTGCTGGAGGAGGCTCAGACCAGCAAAGGTAACACATATCTGAACCCTGCTGGACCTGGAACCACCCGGGTCCAGAGCGAATGATGTCACATAAGTAGAGATGTCTCTATGAAACATCGTCAAGATGTGATGCTGATTCTGACCCTGCAGATCTGGACCGAGGCCTGCTGAACCGTCTGAACGCCATCAACAACACGCTGACCACCCAGTGGAACCGCCTGCAGAGCATCCGCAGCACCGTGGACCACACCGGCACCCAGGCCGACCGGGCTCGAGACCGGGTCCGGGACGCCGAGAACCTGATCGATCGTGCACGGCAGGAGCTGGACAAGGCCAAGGAGGCCGTTGGCAAAGTGGTGAGTAGGCTGGCCGTCGTCATGGCAACCAGCAATGCAGGAGGCGCGCTAACTGATCCGGTGTCATACCACAGGACATCAAACCACCCAGTGGCACCGGAGAGCCCAACAACATGACTCTGCTGGCTCTGGAGGCACGCCATCTCGCCGACAAGTAAGATTTCATCACGGACCGCTGCGTCGGACCAGAACCACATTTACCTGCTGCCCAAAGACCCCCCAAACAGAACCTTTAACTGAAATCACTCATGAGAACCACGAACATGAGGCTTTCATTTAGCTGGTCATTTCAAAATAAAAGCACAGAAAAGGTTTAGTCTAGTTGAGGGATTCAGCTCAGCCATCCTGACTTTTGTTGTTTAAAAGGTTTTGAACGGGGTTTGTCTGCAGACACAAGATGGACGCCGACCAGATTGAGAAGATCGCCAAAGATGCCAACGACACATCGAGCAGAGCGTACGAGCTGCTGCTGAAGACCCTGGAGGGCGAGAGCCGGACTAGTGAACACATCGACGAGCTCAACAGGAAGTGAGTCCGATCTGGTCTGGGTCAGAACCAGGCTCGAGTCTTTCTGTCCGTTAGCTGGACATCTGATGAAGCGTTGGTCCTGAGGGTCTGTAGCTTCAGAGCGGAGTTGTTTTGTTGTGTTGTTGTTGTCTGGTGTTGTTGTTTGTTTCCTCAGATGTTGTTGTATGTTTCCTCTGATGTTATTTGTTTCCTCTGATGTTGTTGTTTGTTTCCTCTCATGTTGTTTGTTTCTTCTGGTGTTGTTGTTTGTTTCCGCTGATGTTGTTGTTTGTTTCCTCTGATGTTGTTTGTTTCCTCTGATGATGTTGTTTGTTTCCTCTCATGTTGTTTGTTTGTTTCCTCTCATGTTGTTTGTTTCCTCTCATGTTGTTTTTTGTTTCCTCTCATGTTGTTTGTTTCTTCTGGTGTTGTTGTTT